GTAAAAGAGATGATTATCTCATGGTGACTCTTTCTTCCCCTCCCTCTACTCCAAAACTTATTTGTGGAGCACTGAGTGTAGCAGATGCTGCCTTACACTTGTTCAAGAATCACGTTTCAGTTTGTCCGCTCTGCAATGTTCACCTTAGTGTTTGGTTTCCAATTTCCTCTGCTGTAATTGGAAAAACGACACCTTCAGGAGATGGAGTGTTGTGTATCTGACTTCTCCTAACACCAGAGAAAAGTTTTCCTGGATGCCGAAACCAGGACACAGGAGATTAGTAAATGTTTTCCCTTGCTGTTTTCTTACTGTTTTTGTACTTCGTACCACTTTCAGATATGGTTATGTGGCATCAAAGCATTTTGGAAATGTGGATTCTCTTCACGTTCAGTTCCAGACAGGTTTCTTGTGCAAGATTAAGTCTGAATGATTTTTTTTTTTAAATGCTGTAGCACCTCTGGGCTGCAAAAATATATCCTAGAAATGATAATTTCTTACTGATGCTATTGGTTCTAGTAGATGTAGTTTTGCAGGGTGGTATCTTTTAGATGGTTTGTTCTCTCCTGCTATAAAGCTGGGCTCAGTTTACATGATAATAAGCAAAAAAGATGCTTTCAAGAAAGTATACTGTTCTGTAACTGCTGTAATTCAGTGCACAGCTTGCACAACAGACTGAGGTCTGCTTGTGCCATTAGGTCAGACCCTTTCAGAAATCCACTAACTTATACCCCTTATTTATATTTCATCTAGTGTTAAGTTAGTATTAATAAGTTAATTAAATTAGTAAGTTTTCTTCTATTAATGCTTTTTATATTGACTTTTAAATGTCAATGACTTTTTTTTCCTTTGAAATTGTTTAAGTGCACAGAATAGTCTATTTCATTTTTACTTCTTAAAAGAATGGAAAAGTAGATTTTTATGTGATTATCTCAGTATGAGAAGTTTCCAGTCCTACAGGTTTAAAGTTGGATTTTAAAGCAAAGGAATGTAAAGAAATCTCAATCTTTTTACTGGATCTAAAACTACTGTAAGCATATCCATTTATAATAAATTCTGTAATAATTATACGTGTAGATTAGGTTCAACATACTGATTTTATAAATTGACAGGATACCTTGAAAAGGAATCCATCAAACAGACTTTGAAGCTAAAGAGACATGAGACTCCTATGCCAAATCCAGTATTAGGAGACATGCTTCATTTCCACAGAACGCTTTAATCCAAGTTACTATTTTATTTGAGGACTCACCGTGTGGAGTTCTGCATGATAAATAGTATATAAAATATACTTTTTTTTTTTAAAGGAGATTAATTCCATTTTAAGGGAATATTTTGTAACCATGTCTATCCCTTCAGTGAAGCAATTGGTCAGTTTTTTCAGACTGCTAAATCCTGTTAAAGGTAAAATTAATTGTCCAAGTGAGAATTATTTTTTGCCACTTACTAATTTTCCCAGGTTCAGGAAGCAAGAATCTAGTCTATACTTATACGTGGAAATTTGCATCATATATGAATAATTAGATGTGTGAAGAGTTTTATTTTCATTCTTCAAATCATGCTTATCTAATTAGACACCTTCTTGGAAGGTTTTAGAGTTCATACACTGTTTCTGATAACATGGTGCCTGCTTCCATATCCATGTGGTCTCCACAGTGAAAGCTGGTAGCAGAGATTATGTCGTTTTGTCTGGGCAGCGAGGAGGCAGAAAGCCCTCGTGTCTCTGTCTACCACAAAGCAGTTTTTTAGGAAGCGAATGGCTTTGGAATCCAAAAGACAGGACAGGGCTTGTGTGCCCCTGTGATCAAAGGATGCTTCCTGGTGAGAGTGCGCGGGGGGACAGGAGCCGGCATGGATACCTCGCCTGCGCCTCCACGACCTTGGGAAAAGGATGTTCTCCCTTCCAGCTGCAAAACCCTTTGTGCATACTTCACTTGTGAACTATGGACATTCTGAACACCGGGGCCTCACATACTTGCAATTAAAATGTATAGCCCTGTAAACACTAGCTACTAATCCAGAGGTAGCTACATGACTTGAGGGATTAGAAAAGAGAATTAAGAGTGACTTGCGTAGCCACAGTGCTGTTTTGGAGCTTAGTCGAATTCCACAGAAATTAGTGAAATGTTTGAGTTCATAGGTTGAGTTCAATTCTCCTGTTTTGGTGGGGAAAGCTTGGAAGGGGAAGTGGGGAAAGACCATGGGGAAAGACAATGAAAGGTCCAGTATCAGCCTTTATTCCAAGACTTCTGAAATATGAATACTAAGAATACTTTGCACAAAAATAGTTAAGAGTCAACGTCAAATTCAGATCTTCAGAAAGCTGTGGAAGAATGTTTTGTGGAATTGCCTCAAAATACTTCGGTGATGTTGTTCATCCAATTATAAAAGTACTGGTCATATGAGTCAGTCTTAGGCTTTAAATATCTCCAGAAAGCTGGAAAGTATTCTGATCTGGGGTTTTAGGTTAGCTTATCTCTATAGGGGAAGGGAGGGGTGTACTAACGAGTTTGAGTCAGGAGGAAAATAGGTTGCACACATCCTGGGTTTTTTTGTGCATTTCTCCTATTCATCAGACTGTCAGTTTGTTAAATGTTAATCATCTTCTGCAGGATAAAAATCAACATGTTTTCTGCTCTAATATTTGACCTTTTAAACATTCAGTGGTTTTGATTCAGGATATACTCATTATCCCTCGCCTTCCCAAGTTAGATTGAAAATGCAGAAAACTAATTAGAGAATAGATCAATAATGTCAGAATTTCACTCAACTAGCATAGACTATAACGTACTGACTTATCTAAATCACTATGGGTGATGGTTTTCTGGGAGACACAGAAAGTGAGAAAAGAGGATTGCTAGTGAAAATGACTGAGAAGAGGAGAGATACAAAATCCAGATTAATTTTTTTCTTGTAATTTTATGTTACAATATTTATGGAGACTAAAACCTGGGCTTCAGAATGAGACGGTAAGTAATAGAGAAATGAAGTATGAGAAGAGTGAAACATTTTCTGCTCCGTGGAAACATTGCACCTTGTGAGATGAGGCCCTCAGGAATGGATTTTCCTGTGATTTCTGAGAGATTAGGGATTCCAACCCAGGGAAATGGTGGATGATTTTAAAAAGAAAAGGTCATTTATGTTTGGTGTTGAATTTCCATGCTATGAATCAGCATTCATACCTGAGTCCTGCTATAAGTTTCTCTGAGCTGTTGGACAGGTTGTTCAATTTGCTGTATTACTGCATTTCTCATCTGTAAAGTAAGAATGAGAATGCATCCCTTCTCCTGCTCTCTTCTCTGTCTGTTGGTACCTGTCCAAAGGATCACATAAACTGCACCTTGCTGTGTAGCTGTTTACTGACTAATCCAGTAGGAAACCAATCTGAAACTCCTGGATGCCACCATATATAAATAATAATATTGTCCTCTCTTGCGATGTTCAGCTCAGAGGATTGTCACTAACGATTACATTCAGCCTTATATGTGAGGATGCCAAGGCCCCCAGAGTATGCAGGGTTATCTAATTAGTCTACTGTAAATAAAACCCGAGCACTGATTACTGGTATTTACATACTAATAATCAGGGTTTCTGTTTGGAATGAGCAGAAGTGTGTTTATCCATGGATGATTTTACTGGTCATGCATACAGTTTACAAATGATAATCTTTTGGCTGTAAATATAAGTAAGAATCTGCTGAATTCCATCAGATGTTATTTTTAGAATGGCAGTGCTATTTCTTGCTTCTGGGTATATCCATGTAACTGTGCTAGCTCCAGTGGAATAATGTGGTTACAACAAGAGGCATGATGTGGCTACCAAAAGTCTGTCTTCCATTTGTTAGTGTGTTAAGAATAAAACAAAACCAAGGGTTGTAAAAAGATGACCTATTAGGATCTTTTTTGAAAGCCGGATGGCTCAGCATTTATGCAGTGCTTCCCTTCTTCTCTCAGCCTCATGAAATTAGAGGTTTAAACTTAGAGAAGTTAAAGCCGCCTGGGGCCCAAAGCTGCAAAGTCGAAGTACAAATTCTCTATTGCCCCAAGTCCTACCTAAACACTGACATAACATCTGATTGACTCCACTGGATTCCTGCCCATATGCAGAAGGGATGTGCTAGGAGAAGGATTTTCCTATACGTGCTCTAGGCCATTTTATCCCCTTTGCTGTTGATCAGTTTTCAGGTTGGGGCACTGGCCTAAGCAGACCTGTTAGTGTGACGCAAGGCTATTCCTGCACTTTGAATAATCAGTAATAATAATAAGAGGTAAACCAGATTTGCTTTACTATGCAGTATTTGTTATACCAACTTGCTGTCTCCCACTGAAACCGTAAGAAAATGTGGTTGCATAGGAATGGTAGACTACATGCTGTCCTGGTACTGGCTACACTAGACCTTCTGTATTAGGATTGCAAAAACCTGAAGCATAAGAGCTGTATCTGATTACCAGAGGAGCCACTTTTACATTACGTGCCAGAAATTCTGTTCTGGCATCAGGTGCTGCAAGGCCTTCCCCGTGGGCAGAGAGGATTTGAATCACATGCGGAAGCAGTCAACGCTGTTCTGAGATACGAAGTGCAAAGAGGACTGCTGATGTTACTCAAGGGGCTCTGGGCAAAATGCACACAGGATGCAAGTAGCAAATGAGAAATATTTCTCTAGCACTCTTTGAGTAATCATTTTTTGATGGTCCTTGTAAATTAACGTCATTTCCCTTAAATTACACTGCCTTTGTTAAAAGATCAAGAAGAACTCTTTTGCAATACAATTTTTGATACATTAAATTACTTTTATCCCTGCAGTTGCTTTGTCTTCAGAATATTCTTTTTGATTTAAGTATATTTTTTCCTGTGGCTGAACTGCATTTCTGGCAAGAAATTAGTTTGGGAAGTCCTTGCACATGTTTGGTCTTGGATTTTGCTGTGTCATGAGTGAATTGGAAGCTGCAAAGTCTGTCAACCAATTTCCATGTCAGTGAACTAACATCATAATGTGTTTGCAGGGTCAAGCTGTTGCTCAGCTCTGTTCAACTATTCCCAATGTTACTGTTTTTGGAACAGCTTCATCTTTCAAACATGAAGCAATCAAAGACTCAGTAACTCACCTGTTTGACAGAAATGCAGACTATGTTCAAGAAGTAAAAAGGTAATCTTTTATTTTCCTGAGTAAGGGTTGTATAGTATCTGGCAAAATACTAAGAAAGACACCGGGCTGATCATATTTATGGGAAGAGATTACATTTGTGAGTTTGGGAACTGTAGTTTATTCCAGATATTCCATCTGCCCACTACAAAGGGCAGGATAGGAAGCATCTCCCTATTTCTTTATAAGCAACATAAGCTTTGTTAGTCCATGTTCATACTTGGACATCTGTTGCGAGCAAAGTAAATTAAGTGAAAAAGAATAAATGTCGTAACAGAAGGATGTACTTGACTATTATCTGCATGTGTACTAGCTCACTGTAATGCACTAATATTTTCAGTGGATCTGTAAGTTATCCAGGTTTTGGAGTTCTCTGGTGTGTTTCTATCTGCCTCGGTTTTTATCCTCTGCCAGGGATTGATATCAGAGCACATGATGTCTGTTTTAATTTCAGATCCTTAGATTTTGTTTGTTTGTGTTCAGATTAGAATCATCCTGTTGCCTTTTGAAGTCATCATGTCTGTTTCTATTTACATGCTTTCAAATACTTTGTTTTCCAATTTGTCTAACTGTTTTTAGATATTGATGTTGATACAGGTGGCAAAACTTTAGAATTGATAAGAAAATCTTAGTAAAAAAATCTTTTTGATTTTACTTGTCAGATAAGAATGATGTTTTCCCTTCATCTTGTATCTGTCAAAATACTAGATTATGTAGCTGGACATAAAACAAGAAATTTCTCAAAGGGGCACCCCAAGGCAGTACAGTTGACAGGCTTCCTGTCAAACTTATGCATTCCTCAGAGTGACATGCAAAGTCCCAGAAGGTCTCTTAGTACGAGGATTACCAGCCCTCAGAGAGAGCCTTCAGTATATAGCAGACTTTTGTCTGAGCTGTTAGCGATCCAGTCTGGTGTTTGAAGAGAAAGCAGGGTGTCTTGCTACTGTTTCTGGAGCACTCCCAAGGGCTTAGGAGAACATCTGAAACAATCCATCACAAAGGACGTTTTATACCAAAGGAAAATTTTACATGTGGGAAGTTTCACCAAAAAAGATAGGACTTGTCCACCATTTTCTTACAGCTCAGAAGAATTGCAGCACGTTTCTTCAGCCCTTTGATAGCTTTTCTCTTGGGGAAGTATACATACCTCAGTGTTTTGCTGCCCCCGGAAAATTGCTGTAGTGAGATGAAGACTGAATTCTAGCAGTCCCCACTTTACAAACATTGATTCAGCAATAAAGAACACTTGAAAACATTAATCAGAGTTCAGCACCAACCTTAATCCTAACTCTTGGCAGGGGCAGCAGCAGATCTGATCGATGTGGAAGCAGACACAACAGAAATCAGTGCTTAAGAGAAGGGATAAAGCCCCTTCAACTTCTGATAACTTTATGATTGCAGATAACAGTGGCTGCTTCTGCCCTTCATCAGGACAGTTCTTTTTGGGACAGTTCCCTGACACCACCCCTGACTCTGTGTAATGGACCATAACTACTGAAATCAAAAGGAGATCTGGTTACGAAGGGGTGGAATTCTGCTCTGTTAAGTCTGTTAAAATCCTTTTGGTGATCCTGCATTTTCACATACTTTTTCACCTCACAGTAGACCAATGAGGCAGAGAACTAGTGGGTACAAAAGATAAAATGTAGATGCAACAAGCTAGTTTGTGCTTCTTTCCTGGTATAGAGTTGCATAGTATTAGCACAATTGATAGTCCTGATTAAAAGTCAGAATTGGCACCCTGTAGAATATGCCAGTACTCTGATTTGTTGCTCAGATCTGTGTATTTTCACTGCACACGGGGGGGGGGAAGTACAGTAGTAATTCTGAGAATGCTATAAAGACAAATTGTCCTTTGAAAGAGGCAGTGGGGAGAACAGTAGAATTGTTTGGTTTGCTGGGTATGAGCTGTATACTATGTTCTGCTTAAAATGTTTGGTTGGCCAGCAAGGAAGACAGCTACTCTGCATTTGCCTGCTGCACACTGGGTCGGGGGAGTCCTAAGGGAAGGGGAAGGCTCTTCATTTGTTGACAGTTTGTGAGCAGGAAAGA